GAACCGTGATCCTCAGATCTCAGCCTCCTGAGTAGCTAGGATTATAGGTGTGAGCCACCAGTGCCTGGATTTTGTGTAATTTTTAAAGACTCAGGGCTGGGAAGGTGGCTCAGTGGTAGAGCTCTTGCCTTGCATGCATGAGGCCCTGGGTTCGATTTCTCAGCACCACATAAGCAGAAAAAGCCGGAAGTGGCACTGTGGCTCAAGTGGTAGAGCTCTAGCCTTGAGCTGAAGAGCTGAGGGACAGCGCCCAGGCCCAGAGTTCAAGCCCCACGACCGAACCAAAAAAAAAAAAATAAATAAAGACTCAAAGCCCCCATGAACAATGTCCTATCCTACAGGCAAAAACAATAATAAAAATAAATAAAAAGGACATTACTTGGTTGGAGGTGCAGCTCAGTAGTAAGAGTGCTCACCACCAAGTTTAGGAAATTCCCTAAATTCCCAAATAAATATCCTTCTGTTCCAACATTATTGCAACCACTCGACTGACAGGTGTATGGGAACATAGGCTCCTCTAGGCAGGCATCGGGGAAGGGGGGAATTAGCCTTCAAATGCTTCTTTAGAAGAAACTCTCCCATTGGCCTGAGCATGCTTCCAACCTCTGAATAATTAACAAATTACTCTCGAGTCATACAGCCGTAACGAGGGATCAGGGGAGAATCTGAACAAATGACCAGCAGTAGCTGCATTTACTCCAGCGCGTCACTAGCTCCCAGCTACACTAAGCAGCCAGCATACCAAATGGGTTGGTGGCTTCTTTCATAGGTACCTGTGTGCACCAGAGGGTACACTGGCACAAAGGAGAGCATGTGCCTACACACACGCAGCTCCAGGTCTCACTGGGCCACAAGGATGGACACTGTTGGACATTTTCTATAAGCATCATCATATTTGGGCCTTCCTAAACCTGTCCCCTTACTGCAGATCAGAAAATTCAAGCTTAAAGAACTAGAGCGCTGGTGGTTTACGCCTGTAATCCTAGCTATTCAGGAGGCTGAGATCTGAGGATTGTGGTTCAAACCAGCTTGGGCAGGAAAATCCGTGAGACTCTTATCTCCAATTAACCACATGAAAGCTAGAAGTGGAGCTGTGGCTCAAGTGGTAGAGTCCTTGAGCAAAAAATAGCTCAGGGATAGTACCCAGGCCCTGAATTCAAGCCCCATGACCACCACCACCAGCAGCAAGAACAACAAAATGTAATGTGCACAGTAATGATGTGAATTTGCCTAGTGCTAGGCTCAATGCCCTATTAACTTTTTACAAAAGAACAAAACTCTATATCCAATTCATCAACGCTGGGGAGCTCGGAGCACTTCAGCAGGCCTTCAATGTCTCTTCAATTCAGGAATTGAAGACCTGGGCCTCCCCTGAAAGCTGAGCCCATGGGGCTTTCCTGCTTCCAGGTAAGGGTGACATCACTTCACCAGGAGTCCAGGGCTACAGCCAGAGACAATGGCAGGTGCAGTCACGTGACCCCAGCCAGCCTCCAGATGGCTGTGGAGTGTTAAGTAACAGTCTCTTATCTGAGCCGCAGCAACCAGTCTGCATGACTGCTCTGCACTTTCCTCCAGGCCAGAGCAAGCCTACAAAACTCTGGGAGAATTTATCACCCCGGAGCAGCAGCAGCTAAGTCTCTGGGTGTCCAGCTCAGGAGATAAGGCCCCACAACCCAGCACCCATCTATCTGCTCGTGGCCCTGACATTTCTTCACTGGGCAGCAGGGAAGAAAGTGGGGTCAGATGTATGGTTCAGACAAGGATCCAGGGTCCAGTGACACCACAGACTTCATTGAGCTAAGGCTCAGAGTTATGCAGTCATTTGGAGACTAAGAATGTGTGGAGAAAACATATTAAAAAATCAACAAGCCGGGCACTGGTGGCTCATGCCTGTAACCCTAGAAACTCAGGAGTCTAGGATGTGAGGATCTAAGCCAGCCTGGTCAGGAAAGGCCACGAGACTCTTATCTCCAATGAATCACCAGAAAACTGGAAGTGGCAGTGTGGCTCAAAGTGGCAGAGTGCTAGCCTTAAGCAAAAGAGCTCAGAGACAATGCTCAGGCCCTGAGTTCAAGCCCCATAACTGGCCAAAAAGAAAAGTGGAGTGGGGGGGCGGGGAATGAAAACAAAAAACATCTCCCAGGCACCTCGAATCCTTTCTGGATCACAGTGGATCACAATGATCCTGAGTAAGAAACTGATCTCCACACCAGTTCTGTGACAAGCACTGGGCTAAATAAATGCTAGAACATCATCATTTAACCCCCAAACCATTTCAGATGAACTTCATGTCTCAGTTTGCAAATTAGGAAACTGAGGCATGGAATGACCCGTCCTACCGGAGGCCATGGAGGCTGTCCAACACTAACTAGGCCAGCGTTCTTGTGTTGCTAAGAGTAGGAGGCTGGGATTGGAACCTAGGGCCTTGCCCACACCAGGCGAGTGCTCTGTCAATGAGCTGTACCCCAGGATCCGTATCTGTGTTTCACTTACATGACTTTTGCAGAGAGCACCATAAGCCGAGCGGGAGGAGTTTGGGAAATGACAAACAGTGCACAGGACATTTCCAGAGCCCCCAGAAGTTCCCTCTGCACTCAGTTCCCACCCATTTCCACAGGCTCCTGTTACCTGGAAACAGGTTATTCTCGGCCCCCCCAAAGCAGAAACCCAGGTGCTGGAAGTGTCCTGGGCCCACCTACCCACCCGCCCCTCACTTTCCTAATCCAGGAAAGTACCCGTGCAATGAGAACACCCACTTCCAGAGTGATCATCTCAGCTCATCACAGAATGAAATAACATCGAAAAGGGGAGCAGCCCTTCAACCCAACATAGCTGCAGGCCACATTCAAACAAGTGATGAACTGGCATTTCTCAAAGGAATGGCCAGCAGCAGGCTTCCCTGATTTACAAGCAAGTGGTAACTGCTTCAGGAATTCCAAAGGTCAGGCAAGAAAGAGAAACAGCCTGGGGCTTTTGTTCTCCCCAGAGCCTGGGTGTAAAAACTGAATGAAAGGCTGCTCTCCCCGCCCCCCCCACACACACATAGACACACACTGCTAGCTCTTTAACCAGGCTCTCAGGGGTGGGGAAGGACATGTATAAGTTTCACGGCTTCTGGCACCTGTTGGACCCAGCAGTTTCAGAGAACTAGAGAAAAGGGATTTGGGGGGCATTGCCCCAGTTCCAACCCACCACACCAGGAAGTTGCCCCTTTGTAGCCTAAGATCATCAGTGCTGCTCAGCCAGGTCACCAGACCAGTCTCCAGAGAATCAAACAAGGAAGATTGCTAAGCTTGTTTTTTTTTTGGTCTGTCGTGGGGCTTGAACTCTGGGGCTTGGGTGCTGTCCCTGTGCTCTTCAGCTCAAGACTAGCATTCTACCCCTTGAGCCACAGCGCCACTTCCAGTTTTCTAGTAGCTTAAGGGAGGTAAGAGTCTCATGGACTTTCCTGCCCCGGCTGGCTTTGACAGGTGATCCTCAGATCTCAACCTCCTGAGTAGCTAGGATTACAGGCATGAGCCACCAGCACCTGGCTAATTTTTTCTTAAGTATCAACAAATACAGGCACAGGTGGCCTACAATTCTAGCTACTCAGGGGGCTTGAGAAACTGAGGACCGTGGTTCAAAGCCAACAGGGGAAGGAAAATCTATGAGATCCTTACCTCCAATTAACCACCAAAAAAGAGACAAGTAGAGCTGTGGCTCAGGTGGCAGAGTGGCCTTGTTCAAAAAAAAGCTCAGGAACAGTGCCCAGGCCCTGAGTTCAATCAAGCCCCAGGAGTGGCACCAAGAAAAACAACAAAAAGCTGGTGGCTTATACCTGAAATCCTAGCTACTCAGGAGGCAAGTTCTGAGATCATAGTTCAAGCCAGGCCAGCAGCAACGACTGTGAGATTCTTATCTCCAGTTAACCACCCAAAAGCTGAAAATGGAGCTGTGACTCAAGTGGTAGAGCTATAGCATTTAGCTAAGTGATGCCTATTCCCTGAGTTCAAGCCACAATACTGGCACTAGATAGACAGATACGTTGATGTATCTATAGATACAGAACAACATAACTGCTTCCCCCAAAGGTAGTAAAGTCTCTTTCCTATGTTGTGACACAGAATGACCTATGAAAATTAAAGGTGCAAGGTAACTGGAAAAAAAAATCATAAACAGATCTTTTCAGGTAGAATCTATTCAAATCACTTCTGGATATGCCACAACTCTGGCCTCCTGCTCTGCTTCCTCCCCCCCTCCTCCTCTTCTTCAGTTCAAGGACTGGTGCTGGGATATATACGATTCAGAGAACATTAGGATGTTTTATTTTGCTTTCAGCACAGGTGAATCACGCTGACACTCAGTTCCAGTATGCTTTTGCAGTCTGAGCTTAAAACAATGCGGAGGTAGGAGCCAACACCTACACAGTGGCAGAGTGTCAATCACACAGACGGGCAGGCTCTGCAGAACTCAGCTACAGGAAAGGATGTGGTCTGCCATACACACTGCCTAAGTTCCACCCAACGCTGTGCAGCCGTCCACATGCTTCCAAACCAACCAGCACCAGCACAGGACGCTCCGTGCCCATTCTAACACAGTCACTTCGAACCCAGCTCACAGGACCAGACTTAAAATTTGCACTTGCTCTTGGGGCAAAGAAAAGGAAATCTTGAGGGTGTCCTTACATCTACACTGAGGCTTCATACTCGCCCCTGAGGCTCCAGTCCACCACCCCAAAACTTCCTGAAACCCAACTCCCAGAACCCCTACAACATAAAGTAGGCTTAAAAAAAAAGCCATTGTTTAAATAACAATGAAGCCCAAATCACACCACCTGCACCCGGGGTCGAGGCCAAATTTCCTTCCCCCAAACAAGCTGCGGGCCTAACATACCCAGCAGATTGGTAAAAAGCACCTCAAGACCGTGATCCCCGCATCTCCCCGGGCCACCCCCACAGCCGGAAACTTTTCTAAAGCCGCTCCTTCTCGACCCTTCCTCGGTGACGAGGGCAACTTACATTTGCAACATGATTTGGTTCAGAAAGATGCCATCCACTAAATCCATGTACATAGTCAGGTTGTCCTGGTTCCCGCTTCCAAACGGGCCAAAAGTTTTCACCTGCGGGGAGGTTAAGACAGGAAGTCACGCGCGGGCAGCGAGCGAGCGGCGCCCCGGGGGC